AAGTTCCTCTTCTCAACTGTCCTGGTGGCGATACCTGCCTCTTGCAATAGATATGTTATTGCTTGGGTTGATAAGTTGCTCAGTTCGGTTTAAAATGTGTACATTCCTCAATTATAGATGATTTTACACAAAAGATTTTACTTGTTATTTAGCCCAGTGAATTATGGTTGATTCCTATGTAAGAGCAAAGTTTAACGACAAACTGTATACATAAATATTCAGGAAAAAAACAACATTTAGATGATCCTGAGCAAAAAGCAGAACCGCCACCAGGAAAGCTGAGGAATTCACCTTTAAAGCTAGGGTACCTAACTATAAAAGAGAATAAATGAGAATACACATCTCGTAAAAATGAAATGTGAACAAATCAGACATTATGCTGTTTTCATCTTTTAAGACTTATTGTTATACTTTTCAGAAAGAGCCCTGTCAGTCACTATTTGACACTTTGGGCTGGGAGACGTGATCCTCTCTTTTTCACTTTTCTGTTCGGAAAAAATAAAAAAATAAAACGGATCTAAGCACGTGAAAAAGTTTCACAATATATGTATGTGAACACACTGTTTTCAGAGCGGAGAAGTAGAGTAGTGAGAGATTTTATTGCACAGTACCAAACTTGTTGTGGTTTAAAAGTTAGGTATCCCAGCTTTAATTTTTAAACATACACCGCACAATTAGCCCCGACAATCAGGTCATAAATGTCAGGCCAAAGGAGATGTTCCAGGTTACATGGGCAGTCACAAAAGAAATCCAAAGAAAAATGCACAAAATTCTCATTCGGGAACAAAGCCTTTTAATGATTTGCTGCTAAGGTTGATCAAAACATACGCCCATAATGCAGAATTTTGAGTTTGCGAAATTTTTCTTAACCAATAAAACTATTTGAAAAAGCAGCAATGCATTAACGCCAACCTTGTGAAGAGAAACAACATCAGTGGTGTGACAAAGACACTTGACAGTCCGCCCGTAGGAACATTCCACAGGGGCTCCTTCTAAATTAAGAAAAGCGTATTTGCTCATGCTGTTTCAGACGACTGCGAGTAAACACAGACTCGAGTAAATTGCACATCCACATTTGATAAATAAATAAATACAACGAACGAGAATTTTCAATAAATAAGGAAGGGCCGACGAGTTGGGGTACATTCTTTAAAATAAGCTTGACCGCGGAGTGAACGGTCAAAGTAGGTGGTGCACACTGTATAATGGCTGTTGTACTAAACTTGTATTTCCGAGTTTTGATTTGGCAATAGTTTGAAAATCCTCTGCCGTTTCCTTTGCCATAATGTAAGCGTAGCACATATCAGCTTGCCTAGATCTGATTATATTCGGTGTTAAATCTACGCTGCGTTGTGGCTGCATCTACAGTCTTGTTTCCGTGCTTCCAGACACAAATAGACAATAATGGGGGGTGTTTTTCAGTCTCAACCCACAAGGCAGAACTGAATGTGTCTGGCAAAAAGTAAGACATCGATTGTGCTTTTTTCAATAGGGTGAAATTGCATCGAAGTGCGGGCCTGCGATGTAAGAAGTACAGTTACTTGGGACATGCATTAAAACCTTCATTGCGCATAAGTATGGTAAACCAGGGATCGTCGATGTATGTAATTGCGTCCAAGTGGCTATACACAAATCAGCTTTTCAGTATGGAGTCAAAAGTCTGTGTGTGTTGCCAGGTATCAATCTCTTATCGGCATCTATATCTGGTGTGAGGAAGGACCAGGTGAGATTGTGAATTCCCATTTTCAAACCATGCTTCATCATGATCTGGTTTCTCACTATATCTTTTGCTGACCACAAGACACCAGATGCAGAATTAAAAAAGGCTGTGACCCAGTTAAACCTTCACAGCATATGGCTAGTGCGTAACCAGTGCGTAACCCCACCAGCTAACGTCTGTCACGATAAAGAGATCAAGTGCGTCATTCTATAGGCCGTGTCCTCCTGATCTCCAAACATGTAAATCCTGACCACAACGGCCTTTTGAATTATACTATCAAACCTTATTAGAGATGGTACAGTTTGCAAAGAGGGGGCTGCTATGGCTGTGGCGCAAAAATAGTGTGATGAATTTTACAGCACTCTATCCTCCATCATATTGCCCAACTTATCTCAATTGTATTCAGTAATTAAATATTTTTTCCTGGTACTAGTAATTTACTTAGATTTCTGCCAACGTTTTAATTTGTCCTTTCTTTTAGACACAAATATCTTTACTTTCTACTAAAAACAGGTTAGTTACTTTGCAAATGACAACATAAGCTTATCCAATAATTGAGGTTATGCGTCCTTCTAAGTTCGTTCATTGATTGTGGTTAGCCCTGCTTCTAAATTCATTCATGAATAAATTCAAACTTTCAGATAACAGCTTTTACAGTATAAAACCATGTGAAATTAATTTGTATTAGTACAAATACAGACTCGTATTCATATACTTTTACTGAAGCAAAGACATGATTAGAATACTTTCTAGTCATGTTTTCAAATATCCATAATTTTACTCTCAAGTACCTTCTATTTGGCATGTCACTTGCAAGTTGAAATCAGAAAACAGACTATGAGTTGGCAATAATGGAATAACATAATTTGAACAAAGATGCTATGGGTAAAAGCTTTTAAAATCTGTTGTTTTACTAAGAATGTTTGACACTATTTACCTACATTTTTAAATTGGCACAAGAAAGAGAGATCCAACTTTACTGTCAAACTACCCAGGAAAAAAAATAACCGAGTTTGTGGTCTAATAAACGGGAGATAAGTCCATTATTTCGCTCATAATCGAACCAACATAATTACGAAATGGCTGTTAACCCAGTTATCAACAAAAACAATCTCATTTGTTTATATTTTCCATATAAAAAAGAGGAACTAAAACCCTCACCAGGATGTTATGGCTGATTTGTGTATTTGCCACCGTGCATAGTCCTACTACAGTGTTATCTGAGCTGCCGTTTTGTTTGAAGTGCTGAGACATGGTCATAGCTTCTCTTTCTCCGTATCCTAATAACGTACGTGGAGGGCTTCTGTGCTATTCCTCTTTCGCGGCTGGATATAAACGTGTGCGTCGCTGCGTGGACGTAAGCTACTGCTGAACATGTAAATACATTAATAATTACACCACCCCTTCCTTCGATTGCCGGATCTATTTACACATGTCGCCACAAAGGATTCATAAGTGCTGAGACAAGTATTTCTGAAGCCGTTTCGAGCATCAGTCTGTGAATCTGAATGCGAAGGAGAATAATGCGCTTTAAAATGAACAATGGTGATTAGAAACCCGAGGATGCAAGAAAAGTAGTCAGTAGTATCTCAAGAAGAAAGTCGAGTGCTTTTCGAAACACTTAAACCAATTAAATACATTTTTATCAAAAGAACATTCCTTCCATTAGCTGAAATATGATGTTGTTTGGAGCAGTTTTGTGTCCCCTTTAATCCCTGGAGTGTGCAGATCCAGACATTTTTTTCTCCCCCCCCCCCCAGTTTTTCATTTATATAAGACGTTTAACTTTTGTCTTTTGGAATCCATTTGTGCTGTCTTTTTTTGTGACACTATCTCCAGTGATTTCCAAGTTGTGGGTGTCCATCATCTTCCCATCTGTGCTTTAGTAAGATGCATTAAAAAAGAAGAAAAAAAACTATTTCATTCCCAGAGCAGGACATTTCTCCGCTCTCGCACAGTCTCTCTCCGATCATTAAGACGTTAACGCTGGTTGCGCTCATGAAGAGGCCGGGGTAGTTTCTCTCTCTCTCTCTCTCTCTCTCTCTCTCTCTTCAGGTCCAAGGCCAACCACCTGCGATAAAAAAAAAAAAAAGGATTACGATTCAATCAGAGAAAGCAAGAGGCGTTTGCTTAGGTCCATTATAGCTTTTTATGGCTTGACATTCAAAAACTAAATGCAGGTGTGATTTTGAATGGAAAGTAATTTGATTGGGTTGTACAGTGGAAATAACCAACACCTGCTTCTGGAGAGCGAACAGGTTTGTGTGTTTGAATATCCGCCGTAGTTATAAAGCATTGTTGTTGAAAAGTATACACTGTGGCTTTTGTTATGGTTGTACAATTATGAAAGTTGTATGCAGGGGGCTCAGGTCAAATGAAAAAAAACATTTGAGCCTTTTCTAGTTTGATTCATTGTTTATTGACATGTAAAAAACCCTTAGTTTTTCAAAAGTATGGATGATTTCCAATTCCACCTGAGTGAGATACTGCTACCCTCCATCTGTAAATCCAGGGCAGTGTTGGGGAGAATACGGGAAAAATGTGTTATTTATTTTACAGTATACTAAATACTGCTTTAAAATGTATTTTGCGACGTATTCTGTTACATGGTCCAATCAGAGTAGTGTATTCTGAATACTTAGGAAACTTTTACGCAAGTTTGAGGAATGTTGTAGTGTAAAAATGCAGCGTAGCAATAGGATCACTTTATGAATTATTGTTTTTGCCTTTGTTAGAAAATGGATAAAACAAACTTGCAGAAAGCACAAAAAGCAAAACTATCATTATTTTTTGTATCAACCAAAGATAATACCACCAAAAGAAAAAGTAATGTTTGGTAAATACAGTTATAGTTACTCAAAAATATAGTATAAGTTCCTGGACAGGTGAGCACAAATAAAATAAAAATAATAAAAAGTACATACATTTTAGATTATTTTTCTAAATGTGTATACAATTGATGTCCTTAAAGTATTGACCGAAATAGTTGCTGGGCCTAAAGATTGAAAAACAAAAAACCTTGATAGGTCAGAAAAAAAAATTTAATTTAAAAAAAATCATTATTAAATATTTTTTGGAAAAAGTAGAAGTTATGTCTGCACTGAAACGCACCAACTAGTCAGATAATAATTTCCAAACCAGACTTAATGTCCCCAAAAAAAAAAATTATGTTGTCAAGGCCTACATTTATCTGTCATGATGTGGTACTTCCCTTGACCCGGCAGATAGCCTGAAAGCACACTTAGTTCCTGCACTTACCCTAAAGTTGTGCGGTGGTGTCTCATATCTCTACATTGGGGTCTGTGAATCCTTTCTTCCCTTCGTTTACGAGGACAGGCTTTTCTGTGCGCGTGTGCCAAACCAGGATCTGGAGGCAAAAACATGAAAAACATTAGTAACATGCTGTTCTTATTTCTCTGCTTTCAGCTCGCACTCGGCTCCTTGTTCTTCAAAACATGTATTTCCAGTTGCATCGCGGTGTAAAGAACCACTTGAGCGTGAAACCCGCATTAGGGAAAGAAAAGGGTCCACAACGGAGCCTTATCTCACAAATGCGATCCGGTCCACTCAGCACAGCGCCGCTCCTCTCCAGGTTATGGGATAATGGCTGCCCTCAGGTGTGGCGCTGGAAGACGCAACATATTTACTAATTAAATTGGCACAACATGACCATGCTTCTAAAATAAACCCTGGATGCTCAAATTACAGCGGTTGTGAAGTAGCAGAGTTTTGACTTTGAGACAGACAGGAGAAAGACCATTTTCAGCGAAATTGACTTTTTGGAGTTTTTAAATGTTTTATGCTACAACATAGTTTTCCCATCAAAAACAGAATTGGATTGGTTTTTAGATCCATCCACACTAACATGTCACTCCGCCCTTTCTAATATCTCCTGTCTCAGACCTGTGACAGTATGATGTCATTGCATAAAGCATTATATAACTAATTATTGCCCATGCATGAATTAGTTTTGGTTTCCTTTAAAATAGCATTGCTGAGTTTGCATCCGGTCATTTTCAAATGTAAGGAAAAAACAAAACAAAAAATTACAAAGTAATCACTTGGACAATGGACAAAAATAATGCATTATTTATTTTTCAACGTTATCTCCTGTTGAGTTTGTAATATAGGTATTTCTAAGCAGTACACACCACTACTTCAAAGAACCAGTGAATGATTCATGAACCGTGCATCTCTCTCCAGAGCTAATGCAATTAGTTTCTTAGTCCACCATTATTTGCCTGATCGACCAGTAGAAACAGTTTCTTCATTAACACCAATAATTATAACATTTTTGGACATTTGGATTGTAGTCTATTTTCAAAATATAAAGGGGGTATTTTTATAAGCTGTAAGTCAATTATCAGCATTATACCAAAACATAAAATCGTGCTATATCTTGACTTAAAATATGGAACTAAATGACTCTTCTGGCCACCCTGGAAAAGCCATGTTCCAGCTTCTTCCCTCTGGCAGAAGATATCGCTCTCTGAGATGCAGGACATCTCGTTACGCTAACAGTTTTTATCCACAAGCTGTTATCAGTGTGAACAGAGCACTTTAATGATTTGCACTTGTTTTGAAACTGTTTTAGCTAATCGATTTCACAGTGACATTTGTTTACTGTTTTATTTCTGTACTTTTAATGTTGTGTTATGTCTGTATTTGTCTGTGCACACTGGTGACTTTTTGCTAATGTATTCCAATGTGGTTTTTTTTACTGCAAATGGTAAATAAACTGAATCTGAATCTAAATGAACTTTTGAGCAATATTCTTATTTCCCCTGAATCCTCCAACCTTAAGTTCAAAAGAGACACAAGTTTAGCTGAAGAACTGCATCCACTTTTTGAACAACAATGCAGTGAAAATAACCTTCTACAAAATGAATGTTGAATGTTTCCCTCTCCTCCCCCACAGCTCAGGTGACAGGCGACTCATTGCTCCTCTCTGCATCTCTTGACTGCTCTCCAGCTCTATCAGGCTGTTTGCAAGTGAAACAGTGCAGTTCTTCTGGGGGATGCAATCGCGCTACAGAGAGCCTTTAGACTTCAGATTGATTTGGCTCTGGAGACCGGACAAACACCAGTGAAATGATGGCAGGGTGAATGAGAGAGGAAGGAGAGGAAAAAAGGTGTCAGGCTCATTTTGCTCCTCTCTGTTCCCCGTTAGAAGCCACTTCCCTTTCATCTCACCGTGGCGGCCCAACATGAATTATGCATGGCCCGTGTGTTTGAAATGTGCCAGTAGCCCACTCCCACTATGTGCAGGTGCAAGGGGGGAGGTTAATAGTTATGCTTGCATGTGAAGTGGCAGATTATAAGGAAGGGAGATGCCAGCACACGGCTATCCATTTTGTTGCCCTTGTGTCTCTCCTTGAGCTCATCTGTAATCAGTGTGACGTCCCTACCTCCCCAACTCCAGTTCAGCTCATTGAATCCTCTGTTCATTTAGCGCGCTCAGCGGCTTTGGACAAAATGGAGAAGGACAAGCTGGACCGATGCTGTCCGTTGGGTTTCTGTCTCGTTATGACTTTTTGGGAAGGGTTTCAGAGTGCAGTGAATAGAGACGGCAGAGGATGAACCCAGAGAGGGGTTTAGTTGACCCAAACACTGACCCTCGGCTTGAGAAGTGGAATGGACAAAGGATGCGACTGCAGCGTGAGACCAGATGCACCACTGCTATTGTGGGCAGGTTTTAATTTTTCCTGCAGCAATTCTGTTCATAAATGGATTTGATTTTCAGGATATCATATTGTTTTAACAATACAGTGAAACAGTTTTGGTCTCTATTATTTTTAAGTTAAAATATAATTTGTAATAATAAACAATACACTATTAAACATCTGACCAGCAGCAAGATATTCATATTGTTCTGCTCGATTTGACATCCAATCGAATCACTGCAGCAAATGGACATGACATAAATGGTTCATACGTTGCGGTCGAGAGGTCTCACTCTGCACCAACATATCCCTGATCGAGAGGTAACGTAGGATTCTATTCAACTGAAATCACGTGATTGGGCCCAGTCCATATCTTAATCATCAATAAAAATATAATCCTCATAAGAAATAAAGCTGTAAATTGTGTAAAAATCATTGAAATGATAATATTACCTTAGTGCAGTTGGCGGCTTTGGGCTCCAGGTCGTTGAGAGTGACGAGCTCGCGCAGCAGGCTGCTCTCCTGGTATCCCCCCTTCACACCCCTCAGTTTGAAGTAGGCCTGAGGCTTGAACAGGATGAGGCGCAGGTTGATGGCGAAGCCGGCCATGTCGATGGCAAAAGGTCGGTGAGGGTCGAACACGGTCTTCCAGCCGTACACTTTCCCCGCAGCGTTTACTTTGGGAGACTCGTACCGCAGACCGCCCACGAAGGCCACAGGCCACACGGACACTTTACGAGTGGATCTCATCTACAGAAGTAAAGACAGTAACTTTACTGAAGGATATGGAAAGTCTGATCGTAGTCTGACGATAGTTTTTTGACAATATGCATCCGCACTATTGACTATTACTGCCACTCTCAAGAAGTTCTTATGTTAGAGTGCCTCAGGGAAATGTTTTGTAATTCTCAAGAATGTAAAAAGGAAAAATGTAATACAAACACGGCTATTTTGTAAAAAGTACTCTTAAGCAAGAAGCAGGAACAAGAACGTTTGTGAGGAGCTGATCCATTAGTGCAGTGTAAGTACTAGTTCAGGCCCATTCCCCTGATGTGAATGTGGAACACGGCTGCACAGCCTACTTTTTACATTATACTAGTCCTTTAATCTGCAAGCATCAAAAAGACCCGCCGCCCTTTCAGTCCCTCATGTGCTGTGTTTGAACCAGCGCTGCAGTGGTAATAAAAGGTGTATGCTCCTAATGAAGGGAAGGATGGCTGCAGTACAAGCGGCTGAGTCATTCAATCAGAGAAGCAGACACAAGTTTCCTCTGTTTTGTATTTGGGTGTGAGGACTGTGTGCTGTTGTGTAGAACTGCAGAGGGCTGTAATGAGTTTGTGTGTGGTCAGTTTTAGGGATCACTGCAGTGAAGTGGAGTTTGAAGAGGACTTATGGGAATCTGAGGATTTAGGCTTAAAGAAAACAACTGTACCAGAAAGCTAGATAATGCATGGTTCAGACAAGCCTTTGAGATAGAACATGCACACAAATACAATTGAACTCATGTAAAATTAACTTATTGACCGGGTGAATCCTATTAATAAATGATGATGTTTTCAAATGGTTAAATTTAGAGTCATAATGCATATCACATTATCCAAAATATAGATTTGTGTGCACAGAATTTCCTTTCAATAGAGATACACAGAATACTGTGAGCTGTATTAGTGGTCTTTGAATATTAAAGGGACTGTATGTAATTATTTAATTCAAAATAACTTTTACATATTTAATATATGTTCCCAGATAACAGGTCAACATGGACAATCATTGACATTTTCTGAAGAAAAGTGAAGCTACACTTATCCAATCTCTCATCAGATTGCAAGTTTGCATGGTGATGGTTTTGGTTCCATCTTTTTACTTTTTCTATAACAAAACTCACAAACAAAAAAATGGCACCACACATTTATGTCAATGAAAGTAGATACAATAATAAGTAGTCATAAGTAATTGCTTCTTGCGAAACCCCAGAATCTGTGTGAATCTGTAATCAGTGCACAGGAGCGATGTGTGTGACAGGCAGGTTAGATTCGGACCACAAATGACAGATTGTAATTTTAACCAAAAATAGTGTTTTCTACATATGGTTCCTTTTAATCAGTCAATTGTAATTTAAATAACAGAACTTTCAGTACAGTTCATCTGAAACTGTACTGAGACACAAGACTCACTTCACCATGAGTCATATGTTTTCATTAACGTTAGTCTTACATTTGATGCAGAGTGTAGTGTCACAAACACACTAGCTGGATCCATTTATTTCTAATGGCCTTTTCTTCCTTTCTCTCCCCTCTCACTTTCTCCCTGTGTTGTGGTCATACTGTAGCTCGGGCCCATAAAAGTGCTGCTGCAGTGATGGAGGGCCCCGCGGGTGAACTGGGCACTTGGGCTGATTCCCACAGAAAGGTAATGACAGGCCCCGTCAATACCATCGCTCCATTTACTGCGGCCGACGTCTGCAGCGCTAACAAGACTGGAGGCTAACACACGGAGCACCCCGAGCAGGGCCACTCAGGTAATTCAGCTCGTGTCAAGATGGATGGCCTGAGATGGACTCATTACATGCCCAAACTTCACTCCACTACACACTCTCCGACTGCAGCCTGCTGGTTAATGCCTAAAACAAATTCTTCGAGGATCAGGACTGAGGATTTAGGGTTATGAGTTGCCATTCAATTCAAGAGACAGACCACATGTCAGCGTGTGTAAAAATGTCCTGCTGTAAGTGGGACTACTGCGCTAATCTGATGGAATGTTTGATCTGAGTAAAATAAAATGCCGCATTAAGCTCGGTATGACTTTTTTTTTTATGAGAATGATTCACTGCATTTGACCAATCCGTCAACTACGCGCGAACAAGTGAGGCCAATACTTTCAGAGGCAAAGAACGTTTCATTTTGGTCTTCCAAGATTAAACTGCAAACACTTTTTCTTTCAAACAGACTTGAGTGGTGTTTTTTCAGTTTAAGTAATGTTGCCATTGCAAGGTGGAGGATCCCAAACCCATTGAAATCAGTCTGTCAGACATGAGACTGCTTTTACTGATGTAGGAGACATCCAAATCAAGGAATAAGACAGACATCACAGTGGTCTGTTTATTTACTTTCAATATTATCTTTTTTTGATATCTTGACACAGATTGTCTCTCTTTGGTCGTCAGAGCCTCGACTTTGACTCTGAAGTTCCGTTTAATGTGTCCACACACTCACACCTCATCAATCCGCATTTACATATATATTGTAGGATTACAGAATGGGTCTGTTCTTAAAATACCAGTGAGATCTAAGAGTAGAAACATCATTAAGATGTTTGGATATATGGTACTTCAGTGGGCTCATAAATGACCAACAAATGTATTTTTTTTTCATGGCATGGTCTTTATCAATGTATTTTTTGCTTTATTAATGGTATCCTATCAAGATATTTTTAAATACATGTATTTTTTCAGCTCAATATCTGACTAACACTGTTGTCTCATAAGACTTTACAAGATTGTTGATTTAGCACTGGAACATTTAAAAATCAAACATTACATTTCCATTTCTCTTACCTCTTCAAACAGCTCCAGACTGTAAGTATTGTCGTCATCAGCAAAGTACACGATCCCCACCTGGCTGCTGTTTGCATTGAACGTCTCCCTCAACCAGCGCAGCGCCAGGTTCCTCTGCATGGTGCCTCGTGGGATTCTGGGGTCTCGCGTGTCGCCCCGCAGCTTATAGTTCCTGGGTGTCTCCACATTGAGATGAGTGTAGTTCAAGCCCGTCTCCCGCAGGAGTCTCGTGACCAGGGCCGTCCTCCTCTGGGAATCCTCCACCAGGATCCAGTGCAGGTTGGGAACATGGAGGAAAGTGTTCGCCAGCCGCGTTAGCTCCGCCTTTTGCACCGGTCGGCTGTACGTGGGAGTGATGATGTGGATAGTAGGCAGCACATCGGACCATGGAGGAGGTCTTGTGTAAACGTATTCTGTCCGCACCACCTCTACTATGTCCTTATCCGAGGCACAATATTCCTTGGAGTCTTGCCCCAGTCCTGCGGCGTCCCTCTTGCCATCAGCGCCGTCATCTGTAGATATGGCAGATAAGAGGCGACACGTGAGGCTTACAGTAGGTTAACCTTGGACTGGCCTTTGTGACTGTATTTGTACCTGAGAGCCGGTGGTGGCGTACTGCAAGCCTCTCTGGTATGATAAAGATCTCTTTTACTAGGTGGTGACAGGCTGCAAAGGTGAAGGCAGAAGGCCATGAGTGGATAACAGCTGATGGACAGAGAGACAGTGCTGCAGACGGCACAGGGGAAAGACCATCGTTTCCCTCAGTGCCGCCTTTGCTATTTCTGATTACAATGTGGGCGCTGTATGTTTAAAAGTAGCACACATGCCCTGGTTTAAAACACAGACGCCACCACAGACTCTCTTGTCCTTGTTGAGTTTTGCTCTGTTGGATTTTCAGATATACTGTAGAGGACCAATAACCCTGGAGTGCTTAACTTTTGTTGTTTCATGACACATTTTGTTTGTTCCTAAAGAAAGAATCTTGTTAAGTAAAATGTTGTGAACAAATCAGACCACAACAAGCCGTCGACATCTTATTTGAAAACATTTGATCGGTGAGAACTGAGTGAGGGCCGGCACTCTCTTTTCTGTCTGAAAAGCTGATCTAAAGATGTGACAGAGGCCCAAAGAGAGGGAACAAAGCAGTTTTGGGAGCTAAGAACTAGTTACATTTTTTGTGGTTTCAAAGTTGGGTACTCCATTTAAACAAGTTGAAATGCAACAATTTAAAACATTTACAATAATCACAATTACAAATTGCACAACATATCATACTTAACAAATTACTAACACAATATATTTATATTATGCAGGTTAACAACAACAATTAAGGCCCAAGGAGGTTGTTTTATCCCTCAGTTATTGAATAATAAGTCAATAATAATAATTGAGCAATAATTGTAACAGGCCTATCCTATACTGCCATTGGTTAATATCGGATGGAGACACTGAATTGGAATTGAGTATGCAAAATCGGTGCTAACCCATTTTTTATCATTGATGTAACCCAATGTATTCATAAACAGCATAATTAATAATCATATCCGGTGAAGAGCCTCTCCTTGACCTCTCTGCATAAGTGTCAGGGCAATTCTGGACTAATATTCACAAATTTTTCTACAGCATTACTTACATTACAATCATGGTTCATTTCTCTCTATTGTGCAGCGGTAATGACAGCTTTTGTCAATGTTCGGTTTCAGCTCCGATGATACAAAGAACTTCACCGCAGCTCGTGGATTAACTCAATCTGTTGATGGCCAGATGTTGCACTGAGTCTGCCAGCGCTGACAAGTACGCTGCCAGAAAAAGTCAAATGCAGCTTTGAAGAAGAAGCAGACTGGAGCTGTGTGCAAAACTGGGTCAGATATGACTTTAATTTCAGATATTATTGGATTATTCCCTCCTTTACTGTACACACTGCCAAAACAGTATATTAACTAGTGCTTGAAGTAAGCACTGATTGCATTCGAGTTATGGCCAAATGCAACATGTACTTTCACTTGGAAGTTATTATATGATCATATGTGTTATTATATTTTTTCCCTTTAGCATATTTGCACAAATCTGAGTGATTCTATCTATGCCAATTTTGACATGTACATTTCTCTTGTGTGAGATCAATAAAGTATATCTTATCTTATCTAGTTTTATGTGATGTTTTTGTCTTATCCTGGACCATGAGTCTGTAATGAAGTTTGATGATGATGATGTTACTGTGCTTGAAATAAGACATGTTTTTTCAATAGGCAAATTTAGAGGCGCAACTCCCCATTTTCTGGAGGGTATGCAAACTGAAACCCAATTTTCAGCCACTTTGAAAAAGCTTTTTTCTGTTTCTCCATCTCGACAGGTAAATAATGACTTTGCTGTTGTTGCATGCAATGGCAGCCTGTCAAAGCAGGGGGCTCTGTTGACTCATGGGGCGCTGCTGTCAAGTGCAGCTGAACCAACCAAGACAGTGTGATGGGCCGCTCTATATCGCGCGCAGACAAGCTTATATTTATTATGTATTTATTTCCTTTGGCGCCCCTGTGCAAGGCATACAGTGCACGGACTCTCGGATTATAAATACAGGAGCCCCACAGGGCTGTGTTCTTTCTCCCCTGCTCTTCTCCCTGTACACCAACCACTGCACCTCCAGCCACGACTCCGTGAAGCTGATCAAGTTCGCGGACGACACCACCCTCATTGGACTCATCTCCAACAACGATGAGTCCGCCTACAGGAGGGAGGTGGACCGGCTGGTGTCCTGGTGCAGTGGTAACAACCTGGAGCTGAACGCCCAGAAGACAGTGGAGATGATTGTGGACTTCAGGAAGAGCACTGTCCCCCCGCCCCCACCCTCCGTGATGGACTCCCCCATCACCTCTGTGGAGTCCTTCCGTTTCCTGGGCACCACCATCACCCAGGACCTCAAGTGGGAGCCGACCATCAGCTCCCTCATCAAGAAGGCCCAGCAGAGGATGTACTTCCTGCGGCAGCTCAGGAAAGCCAAGCTGCCTGTACAGATGTTGGTGCAGTTCTACACGGCCATCATCGAGGCCATCCTCACCTCCTCCATCACCGTGTGGTTCGCTGGACCACAGTCAGGGACAAACAGAGACTACAGCGCATTGTGCGCTCTGCAGAAGAAGTGACCGGCCGCAGCCTTCCATCGCTGCAGGACCTGTACGTCGCCCGAGCTCGAGGCCGGGCTGGTCGTATCACAGCCGACCCCTCTCACCCTGCACATGGACTATTCCAACCACTCCCCTCAGGCAGGAGACTGCGGTCCATCAGGACTAGAACCTCCCGCCACAAGAACAGTTTCTTCCCCTCTGCTGTTGGACTCTTGAACACTTCTTAACCTGTCCCCCCGCCCTTTATAAAGTCACTTTACTGCCCATCATACGTCACTTTACTTCACTGTACTGCTGTCACCTTACATTGTGTGCACCATGTGCACTTGTATATTGTAAATAGTAACTGTAACTCTATTTTAAATTTAAATTTATTCTTTAGAAGTGTTTTTTATTCTTATTTTTATTATCTCTTTCTGACTGTTGCACTGAGCCAAAGCAATTTCCAAGTCTGTGACTTCCTGTTACTTACGTGGCAATAAAAATGATTCTGATTCTGATTCTGATATGCCCTTTAGTTCAACAATAATACAAATTACTTTTTCTTTTTGATTAGTTTTTCATTATGACAGGACTGGGTATTTTTCAGAGCCTGCTAACACAATAACTATCTCAAAATGCATGACATGATATGATATGTATCTGGAGATTTTGAATTTGATACGTTTCAATACGATAGATGTCTAAACAATGTTTAGTCAAAAGAGATGGCCCCTTATCTAATGCTCCGGCCCATTTTTATAATAATACATCACTATTGATAAATTATTTATTATTTATTTATTGAATATTGTTATTAAAGTCAAAAAATCGAAACAAAATATATATATATAAATCAAAATTGGCTAGGTTCACCATCCGTGGGCGGTACTCCCTCTCTCTAAGCTCGGGCCATTCCTGAAAGGAATCTTTACACAATCTTTATTTCAAAAGTGAATGAAAATCTGAATACAAACATTATTATTGTATTTTTCTGAAATTGTAACTGTTGACACTTGCATTGCTGACTACATCAGTCATATCGGTCCTATATCAAATCTCCAACTTGTGTTACTTTAGGACGGATACGTTTGCTTACCCTTGCGGATGGCCAGTAGCGGTGCTATTGCGTTCTGGTGCCACACAGTGATGAGCAAAGTCCAGGGTAACACGATCAACACAATGGCAAGAATATCTCTTCTCTTCGGCATCTCCAGGGCTGGTGATGTGCCTCGACATTACCTGGTGCAGACACACATTCATCCATTCAATCTGAGTATGTGAAAATTCTATTTGCATCAGGCACCTCCCAAAGTACCTGAGTATCTGAGCAAACAGGTGTGTTTCCTCATGGATGAGATGTGTCCTGCTTTGTCCTTACAAACCAGGACACATCTCACCACACTGACTCTTCATCCTCCACATGGGAATCTTCCTCACCCTTTTTATTGTGCAAACGTGGCAAGTGCATATGACAACGCCCCAGGGCACACAGCTTCACCCGGACACAGTCACAAGTACCACCAAGAAAAAAACTTGGCGAGGAACAGCTCTGTGATGCAATGGACTGTGGATTGTTCTCAACATTTTCCACAAAACTTACAATGAGACAGCGAGGAGTGTGATACATTTGAGTTCACTGACAACAATTCTCAAAGAATTATGCTAAAATCACACAAATAATCAGGGCAGTGTAAGTTAGAAAGATCGAAGCAAAAGTAAGTATGGCTGGATGGTTCAATACTCAGAGATTTTAAAAAGCCATTATTTTGGAATTCTGTGAAGAAATTCTCAATAAATGCCAAATCTCAATCTGAACATGGTTGACAAAGTAACTGAAGGAACCCGAGAAACCAAATAAGAAATCCAAATCCATTAATTTTCTTATGCAGTAAAAATTATATTAAAACAAAAATATCATTAAAATATACAAATAGATGAAGACAGCTCGAACCTGCAGGAGTCTCACAGCGGCGAACAAACCAGGACACACTGCTGACTCCTCACGGGATACATCCTTAGTCATTTTTTTATGCCATTACCAATCAAAGACATTGAACAAAAAGACAACGCCCATGCACCCAGCGAAACAGATCCACATTACACTGATTAGTGGACAGGTTAATGTAATTACACTGCACATTTCATACACAAGGCAACTCAAACTGTTTAAACTACAGGAGAGGAATAATGAACGATTGGCCTGTACCTGCATGTGTGTGTTTGTGTTTTGTTCACGATATAAATATAATTAAACAGAAGTAATGAATAAAACCTTACTCCGGATATCTGCTAATTAGGCTGCCCTCAAAACAAACCAAAAAAACAATGTATTTTTATATAAGAAGACAAGTTTGTGATTAACCTGGATTTGAAGAGAAAAGTAGCAACTTGTTTAACATTTTCAGGAAGACTAATCCATAAATTAGCTGCGGAGATCTGAAATGCTGCCTCCCCATGTTTAGTCCTGACTCTGGGCACCAGCAGGAGACTCCTCTCAGATGCCAGGCCATGGAGAAACTTGTACACGAACAGAGACCCTTTTAAGTCTATTCTCTAAGCCATAGAAGTACTTCCTGGTTCAAGTCAGGACTCAAGCTGTGGAAGCTATTTTACAACTCGTTTAGAGAACCCTGATTCTGGCAATTTGACCAATGTTTATAACTATTGTTTTGACTTGATTTGAGAATTTTAGGGCGAGAGACACTGCATCTCTTTGTTTCTGGGGACCAAAGATATAATTTCAGTTTTGACTGAGGTTAGCTGTAAAAAGTTGATTAGACTTAAACCAACTCAGGGCTTTTCTGGCGACACCCAGTCCTCTAGTCTCTGAATTAAGATCTCATACTCATTACATCCCAATGCCTACATTATGCTACGCTTGTTGTACATTGCAGCCCTTTCACCCTCTGTGATCTGCTCGCACGACTGCAGAACTGGCTGGGTATTGGGTATTTCATAATTAGCTTTGCCTATTATGTTGTGAGCTGGGTAAATAAATACATAATTAATGCCTGAGCTATTAAGTGGAAGGGCTAAGCAGTAAATTCACTTACCGTACACAATATGCTCTCGGTGATCATGAAAAATGGTCCAATATTTTTGCTTATGGGTAAATGACAGCAACCATATAATGATTTCATTAATTAAACCTCAAAATTGCCTTTTGTTCAAGTGATGATAATAATAAAGCACAGAAATTAGGCATTTTAGGTTAATAATTTATTACAATGTTATATTGAGGAATCACATCTGTTGCTTGAAAGAGTATCATAATCATTCCATTTTTAAGTTAAAAAGTGGTGCATGGATTTAATAGATCATTGCATAAAATTGGTGATCTTTTTTGTTTAGTTGTTGGCATTTGAGTTGTCTGAAATATATATAATCTAAGGGAAACAAACAATTGGGTGAACAGTACCCAAAATAAAAGTTTTTTGTAAATAAACATTCACAGGACTGTATGTAAGAGTATTACTTTAATCTTGTCTACGTTGTTTAGCTTTAATTGTGATTTAAGCTAAATAAAAAAAATAAAACCTTGTGTTCGTCTTGTTCATGTATTTGACAGGAGTGGTGCTTTCCTCACCCACACTTATAAAGGGATCATGGCACCAGCTCAGATGCACAGATGGGCTCCTCACTGCAGCTGCATGAGTGATTCTCTTGGACCATGTATCAAAACATCTCCGCTCCTGCTCTTCCCATGGACGCAGAAACTCACCTGTAACACAAGACACATTCAGTCAGACCAAGCAGGTTAAACAGTCAGCGAACATGTGCGTGAAAACTAGGCCACAATACATAGTATGTTTGAAGCACAAAACATTATTCTTGCGATAATATTGATTTTAAATGTAAATGTGCACTTTATTGTCTCCGTAAGGAAATTTGTCCTCTGCATTTGACCCATCCTGATGCCACTGAGTAGAGCCCTGCACGGGCCTATTATCTGGGCCCGAGCCCAGCCCTGGCCCGAGGGGGTGGCGCCCCAGCCCGGCCCGGCCCGATATGGTTTCTGAATGTTCAGGCCCGAAACCCGCATCAAGCCCGCCTTTTTTTTTTTTTTTTTTTGTAACCTCCCATAACAATGTTTTAACGTAGTATATAGTGCCGCGCACTGATATGAACGCAGACTTAGCTAGAGGGCGGAGTTATACATGGTAGTGATGTGTTGCAATGAGTTCTGTGTGTGCGGAGTGGTGCAGCGTGAACGGCCGCATCTGTATGATGCCCAGATGCTGCAACACACCTGTAAGTAACGCTATGTGCCGTCAATGACAACACTACACAGAACAACAAACTCTACAGCGTGATAGAACGCTATATTCAGTGGGTGCGTTCGTAAATGTATTCTGCCGCTCTGAAAATGAAGAGCCCGAGCCCGGCCCGTGTCCGAGGTCATTATGCGGTCATCGGCCCGAAGCCCGGCCCTCGGGCCAAGGGCTCAAGTGCAGGGCTCTACCACTGAGGCTTCAGGAGCAGGAACCCATCTCCAGATGTTGGTACTCTGCTTGGTCAGGACTACCGCAGCTGGAGGATTATACCTACTGTGCATGTTTTTAGTTGTAGGGGAAACCAGAGCCCCCGGAGGAAACCGGAGCAAATGGAGGAAACCTATGCAGACATGGGGAAAACATGCAAACTCCACTCAGAAAGACCCTGTTCTGACCAGGATTCGAATCCAGGATCTTCTTGCTAAGAAGCAACAGTGCTATCCACTCCGCCACCGTGCCGCCCGTGCCATTGTGTTACCTCACACCAATGACTGTAAGCCAAATTCATAGCGGACTTTATAAATAGCGCAATTTAAGTTAGAGAAAAGTTGAGAGAGTAATTTGAATTATATTAAAGGTATACTGTGTAATTTGTAGTGCCATCTAGCGTTGAGATCTTATATTCCATGTTACTGCGGAAGCCTTTGAGTTGAGGAGCACTGTCAAAGACAGTGTCTCTTTCAGTCAATCACCAGACTGCCAAGGAAAGAATACTTTAGCTTGATAAATGACCGGATCTCTCCATACGTCTCGGGCACTTGAGAGTCGCGTGGAGGCGACACGTAAACAAGACCGCGTTCAGACGCGGCACCCGCTGCACAGAGGCTCTACCGAGTTTTACCATGGATCTATTATAATATATAGTTATACAAACGCGGTGTGAATAGAAGAGACGCATGGAGGAATAACGTCTGTGGGAGCTTTAAACTACGGTGATCAAAGAAGCAGGACATATACACAGCCGCAGCAGGACATGACTAAAAGCTCATAATAGCATTAACGTTAGCCACAGCGCCCTATCTGCATCACGGTAAGAAACAGAACATTCACTCACGCTGCTGATGAAGTACTGTATTCTGGCGATTGTTTTGTGGGAATTCTGTGTGTTTTATTTGAGGCTTTGTCCCTGAATAAGTTTAGTTGAAACTTGTGACATAGTAGTTGGACTGCGCTCGGATCGGGTCAGAACATCCTGAGACTGTGTTACAGATTCTGCCTCGTTCTCATTATTGTTAGTGTGAAAAAGTTACGCATTGTTCACGTGTGAGTCTGTTGTGTACAAACTACACAATGTGCCTCCTATTGTCTTAACGCTGTCTTTCGGTGTGTGTGGTTTGCGATGTTGACACTTTGCCGCTATGACGCTGGACTTCTGCATAATTATTTTTCTAAAAGATTGTTGTTCGGATTGTTCTTTTACAGTACATAACTGTGGTCCTCCATGGTTCTTTTACATAACTGTGGTCCTTCATGGTTTCTTCTTCCAACTTGTGAAGGCACGGTGAAAACAACAATATCAGTAGCACATGTGAAACGAAAACGCGATTCTCTCATCCTTTTTGTCCTTACTCACCACTGTTTTACGAGACGGCGCATTGACACAGAGAGCACTCCTCTCTCATGGACGTTTAAAAGTTAAATTCTAAGCCTATGAATACAATTAAAAAAACATGGTGGAGGTAAATATTCTTAAAAAGGTCACATTTGTTTTTAGTTGATATGTTTTTTCATATTGAGCAGCTGCAAAAATTACACAGGGTGGCTTTAATACAGGCCTTTTTGCAGTTACTGTAAAATCATAGCCGAAACAAATCAAATGTATGGAAGATTTTGTTAATTACAAAATTGTGTTAAAAGTTCATTGTGCATTGATCTGCCCCAGATGTCATGGCCCTGTTCCGCAGCTACAGTCTTGCATTGATAGAAATATAAAA